ACAACTAAATACCCGTTCATTAGTATAAAAATAAAGTTATGTCTACTGAATTTTCTAACCATATTGTAATATTTTATAGTCTTCGTGATAAAACAATTAATGTGTATAATTTGTTAGTTCAATTTTCATTAGTTTCATAAGTTTCATTACGAAAGCTCTTACTCTTTCTTGTTAAACTAATTAATTTTTTCCAGTTAATATGAAAAAAAAATATTTTCATAATGAAAAATTTTATTCAGAATTTGTTTAGGTTGTTATACTCAAACACTGCTATGTTTAACTTTTCAATTTCAAATTTCTATTTAAAACCACACAATCGTTGAGAGAAACTCACGATTTTCTTGGAATTTTCGCTGCTATTCTTATAGCGCATTATTATGGTGGAGCAAGAAAACCGAATAGTGTTTGTAACACCACAGAAAGCGAGTAATAATAATGGACTTTGTATGTTGTACGAATTATTCACAGATTTTGATGGCACCGACGATGACTGATACGGTAGTGGATAAAAAACCACCATCAGCTTTAATTTCTATGAAAACAATCATTATTTACATGCTAATCTACAAGTCGGTTAGTGGTTAGGTACTCGTATAATTCATAGACGACGGTCGTAAACTCAGACACGAAACGGTAGAACGGCAAATACGATTGAATCAAATACAAACAGAGGGAGGAAACGATGCGCACTTATTTACTATCTGCTTATAGAAACAACTTGCGTTATAAATGTTTTAGTTTGATTTGGTACATAGTAGCAGCAACTACAGAGCAGTTATCTTCTTTCGTTTTAGCTGGGTGAACGGACACAATGAAGAATGATGGGTACCTCGGAAGTATCGATAAAATAATATCTATAACGTACATAATACCTATCGATTGCACAAAAATGTGTTATTCGATTTGTGTTTACATAAAATTTAAACGATATTTGATATGTAAAATACAATTATTTGTACATTAAAAAAGCGAATACTTATTTAATTATTTGTGGGAGTAAGAAACAAGTATGCTACTATTACGTAATATTGAATAGTACAATGAGTTTTTCATCGAAAAGAAAAGTTTCACATTTCTTTGGCACTTAACTTATATGTAATATGGTATCATGTTTAATTTATGTTTGCTTTTTTAGGGGTTGTTTACCTTTTTTAAATAAAAATAATATTTTTAATGATAAATTTGAATTATGATAAATTTCAATAGAGTACCGTTGACGGCTATGAGTTGAAAAAAGAAATAATACTATTAAAAATGTTTAATTTTATAGGAAATTTAGTAAAATTTGTAGAGATTAACAAAATGATAACACTAAAATAATAATAACTGTATTTTAACTACTGTAACCGCCTACCGGACATGACAAACGTTACTAGTCATTGCCTTTTATGATGCCCTAAAATATAAATCAAATAATCAGTTTAATTCTTAAATATTTTAGTTGCCGTATAATATTGCAAACAACCGGTCGTTACCACAGTTGTGGTAACATGCGTAATAAACTTTGTGTTCATTTATGTTTTCAATTTATCATAAACATGTTTTAAATACAAGTTTCCTTTTTCTGTGTGCAAATAATATTTGCATATTTAAATACCCCTAGCAGATAGGCAGTAGTAAATTAAATAGCCAGAACTTAATAATAAATGGCAAAATATTTTTATCTTGTCTATTCTACACCGGTCACATATGTCACGATGAGATGAAGCTGATCGTTTCAAAATTTGAACAAACGTGCTTAGAAATCAAAGTAGACCGTATTAAGTTGCATGTATTTTTGTCATATTAAATGGTTTCGCTTGTTTTGAGTGTCTAATTATAATTAATCAATGTCCATTTTTAACATTGATTTATTATTAGATCCATTAATTTTGAAAAGTGTCACTGTTTGAACAGTTTAATTTTACTAAATAATAACAATGAGCAAAATGTCGTTGCACACATATCATTCTTAATTACGTCATTCTTCTTAAGTCGGCCATATAGTTAGGGGGCGTTCCGTAGAGCATGAAATTTCCCCTTCTCTAAAGTTGTAGCATTTTGTTAACAATTACAGATTTAAAGTAGCAATTTAATGAAATATTTTAGTTGAGACAACCTCTGATCAATTCTTTCACGTTTCAGAATAAAATTCTTCTTTAATATATAATTGAAATAAATTATTTGAGTTAATTTGTATAAATTACAAAATGTTCGCACTGTATGAACTATAAACAAGAAAATAAGGCTTTCATTTGTCTGGAAAGCTCTATTATTTGTATACAGTTGACACAGTTATTTTCCATAAAGCGAACATACTAAAGAAGCAGAGTGGTTATTGGAGGCTGGCGCCAATTATGTGTAGTCACATATATTGTACGCAAGCAAAGCAATCAAATTCTTTTACAACAAAATCATTAAAACGATATTGCGAAAAAGTTCTCTATTCATATAAACAAATCATTATAAATACGTTAAATTGATCAAATTCCACTATTTAGCATGATTTGGAATTATTTTGCTGTAATTTATGACATCTGTTATCTTAACGATTTTGTATAAACATAAGTTAATTAAATTTAATTAATTAGTTGGAGCTGGAAAAATATTATTGCATGTAAAACAAAAAAAGCATATAACTTTTGGGGTAATTATAAAATTAAATAATTGTTTCAACGAGTAATCATCAAAATTACTTAGGAAAAATGTCGACTATTAATCAAATAAAATATACATGTGTGGAATTTAATTAATAAACTCGATAATATTATTTGTCTATATTGAGTGCATTTTATGTGATTATTAATCACATTAAATTTTCCTCGGCCAATTGAAAACTTAACTTATTAAAAAATAAATATATTGTTATAGTCTTGCTCTATTTTTAGAAATCATACACAATGATATTAAATTTTATTATACAGCTGTTCTTATTTTGTTTTGTTTATTAGTATTTGGAGATATAAATGAAGGGTGGATTGTATCAAAGAGATACGCTTAGTTTAACTAGATACGATAATAACGAACAACTTTTTCCTAAAACCTTGACCCTTATTTAAAACTTTGTGAAGGCATTTCCGTATACAAAAATTCCCACACATTGCACTGCCCCTTAAAAGTAAAACGACACGATTTTTCGTAATTCACTAAAAACCTCTTGATTTCATAAACTCAAAATTATTCCTTGAGACTATTTTCTGGTTTTACAACACTAAAAATATCAGCAAACAATCATTGTTCTTTATGAAAATAAGATATAGTTGTAATATTTCATATGTTCTGTAATAATTTAAGAACGTATAGTTAATTATTTACTATAACAAATATTTCTAGTTTAGATTCTATTAAACAGTAAAAAAATGTATTTTTTTTTATGCTAGGTAAAATATAACTATTTTTTATGATATGGATTAACAGTGTTATTTAAGACATTGACGATATAATTATACTTTTCTAGTCTCAAAGAATGTAATTAAACGAATTTGCTCCGGGCTAATATCATACCTACAGGATTGCAGTAGAATAACGTCAGTAATCCTAGGGAGATTTTTATGTTATTTAATAAATACATTATGAATTAGGATTTAAAAAAAATAATAATATGAATATGAATGTAAAAGACTATTGTAACTTTATATAATTATAAATTCGACTATGCTTATTTTAAATGTAACGTTAGTTTAATTTTTACCCGAAAGATGAAAATTCCAAGTACATATATTTTAAATATGTGTTCAAAATATTTGAGTATTTCAGGAACGTAGTACAGTAACAAAAATAATAATAACCAAGCCTTTGTTAATAACTTAAATTTATTGTATTATATTAAATGCTGTTGAGAAACATAGGTGGTGAAACACAAAAGATAACCTTTTTCTGCACCAAATGCTATATTCTAGGTTATATTGAATTCATTTTTGGCATTTACCAACCATAAGATCCACCAGTCAAATGTTCAATTTTCAGGTGTTACATCTTGGACTAAACATCGTCCAAAATGTAATTCAATGATCTCATTTTAGAGCAAACTGAATGAGTAATCGTTTAATATATTTCATTTGGCTTATTCTTTTAAGGAAATATCACGAATGATCGACAATTAAACGTGTTAACAATATGCCGAAAGACAAATATAAAAACGTTGCTAGTATTAATAATAAGTTGTTGGTATAAATTATAGGTGCGTTGTTTGACTAATTGTAAAATTACACAAATCATCCGAATTAATTATAGTTGGCCCCAAGTTAAAACAACTATGTTTACAAACAAATACTTAAGCAAACGATAATTATAACGGAGTCTACAGTAATTAATGTGTAATTATTGATTTTTAAATTAAAATTAAATATATAATATGCAATTTTAGAACCAATAAAATAGTATTACATATCCTCAAGTATAAATATAGTGTACACATAACACTTCCAAATGTTGAAAAGATTACAGATAAGCAAATGTAAAAGTATCGAAAAATATGTAATGAACTTTTATGAGCTTCAAAACAATAATAATTATTTATTTTATTACACTTTTACAAATATAGGGGCACCTGGGGCAAAATGGTATGCACGCAGTAAAACTTATTGTAAAATATTATTATTTGTTTATGTACGTTAGCAGCTAGAATTTAAGACTATGATTTGAGATTGTTTTTTTTGATAGAAGACCTTAGGGTACTTTATTTTTTAATGAAAATTATCATTTAAAATTAATGAACGATAGTTTTTAAAATCGAATTATACAAAACAATAAAACTAACTGAATAAAAATATATTTTGTTTATGAAAATTGTATAAAATAAAATACGAATAATTACTTTTTAATGTATTTTTATAGTTTGTATAGAAACTAAACAATTTTGTGAAATACTAAATTAAATTTTATTGTTTATATCCATAGCAACATAGGCTATTGGATTTGAATTAAAAAATGTTTACTTATTTATTATTTAAATTTTATCTAATAAGTAAACAATTATTTTTATACATTTAAAATATTAATACGGTTTTTATATTTTTTAGGAACGAAAAATAGTGACAATTTTAATACAATACAAGGTAAGTTAACTTTTTTTTGAGTTTTTCTATATTATTATTTATGAAACAAAGTTATGGCTTTTTTTAAAAGATTAATTAACTTAACTGATAGTTGCATTAAAATAAATAGTGCGTTAGATACATGTGAATTAAATTTGCTTATTATGATAAATAGTAGTAAAATAATTAAAAATATACTACCTTACAAATTAGAACATAGTAACTTATTAGAATCATATGAATAATAAATATGAAATACAATTTTCACATTTTCATTTGTATTTTAATTATACTTTAAAGTACAAAGAAATAACCTGAATATAAATTTCATGTTTAATATTTATTAAAATGTATATTTGTATTTTATATGTAACTAAAAACGTATTTTAAAAATTAATTATTTTTAACAGAGTATCACTGAAGAATTTTTTGCTAAGAGATAAACCTGTTATGATTAATTTATTTTTTACAAAAATTGAAACCATATGAACTCAATGTTTGGACGTAAAAACTAAAAAACTTACTCACAAAATCAATTAACTTTTAACTTTATAAAGCTTTAGATAATTTGTTTTAATTTCCATCATTGATATGATAAATAAATAGCTATTAGTTTTAAATTAGTATTAGAAATAACTTTTAATAGATTACTTATAAGGCAAAACTTCTTGCTTTCAAGTGTTACATAGATTGAATTTTAATATATTTATATCCCATGTATTTTTCTTATTTTATTAGTTTTTATTTGAAAACTATATTTTTACATAAATATCATTCACTGTAGTATTTATAAAACATTTATACAAGTGAATCTATTTATTTTATTTTCAATTGCAAACGACTTTACTAACGATAGTTTTAAATATTTATGATTCAATAAATAACAATTAAAATGTTTTCTTAACAAATTAAAAATTTTCTAAATTATTTAATAAGTTTTAGCATTTGAATAGGTACAGAGTATTATATTATTATTCTTATATTAAGAGAAATGATTTAACTTTGTAGACTAGCAATATTTCATTTAGTTTTAAAATAGTATAAGACTTTAATGCATAATTGTATATAGGTTGGTACTAGGGGAACATAGTTCCATCTAAATACCAGTTAGAAATAAAAAGTTAAAAAAATTATTTTGCGATTTCACATTTTATTTTAAATTACGTGCATAAAAAAAAACTCATGAAAGTTTTTAACATCTAATCGACAAAAATAACAATTTTAACTCCAATATTCTAATTAATTGTGCACTTATACTTAAAGGTATGCTTTTCGAAACAGAACATGGTATTATATGTATAATTTTCAAGCTGTCATTATATTTATAACGTCAGCTATCATCATAGATTCTGGTTAAGAAAATAAAAATAAACTATTATATTTTAAACTCCCTGAAAATGTATCAATTCAAAATTTCATTGATGTTTGTTAATGTTAAGCCAACCTTATGATTGTAAAAAAGTACCAATAAATATAAAATTCGGTTAATAGTTTTAATAAGGACATATTTTTAAAAGCTTTTGCTGTTTATGCTCATATTTGCTGTGAGCTGACGTTTTTAAGCATTACATAATAATCGCCAAAAAACATTAAGCATTATTGTTGTTAAAATATCACCATTAAACCTTTACTTACACACTTTTAAATGCGTTTTCACATTATGTTAGTAACTTCACGGTATGTAAGTCTTAACCGTTACTAAAAAAACGAAAAAATGTATATAATCGAATATATTAATCTTCAAGTTTCTGTGACATTTATCTTAATTGAATAATGAAAAGCTATGGGATAATTATTTTCATGTTTTAAATAAACATACATACAATTATTAAAACTTGTTATTTATAATATAATAACTATTATTATTTATAGATTTAATAAATAAATCAACGTACAGAACATTTCTCGCAAAATAAGTTATACAATTTGTTCATATTGATGGTGCATTTAATTTTTAATTACATTTGAAAATAGTGTATTCATGTATAAATTATTTTGAATAATTTCATTAGAAGCTCGAGATAACAAATAAAATGGATTAAGTTGTAATTTTTTATTTACGGATCTAATGAAAGTTTGAAAAAAAAACAATATGACATTTAATGTATTTACTATGACTTTTATAGGGTTCCTTAATATCTTGCATTTCTTAGTAAGTCATCCGTTTGGTCTTGTAGCTGTGATCATAAACAAAAGCTGTTGACTTTTGTTCGTAATCAGTTTCAGAAACCATAGTACAAACCCAACCATTAACGTGGTATGATATTTTAACGCATTCAACAAAATGTTTTATTGCTTACATCAAATGGTGGTAGGCGGTTTAAGACAAATATGTGGTCGTCGAATGGACTTTGCTTGCCAGTAAGACGGTTTAATGAAGATTTGATGACTGCTGATAAATGATATAATTGTAAAGCTTGAGAATAGTGTGACAATATAGGAATAAAATTGTTACATCAGTATAATCAAATAGATCCTATGCTAAAATTGTTTCATTTTGAAGGTACTCTTGCCAATGAAAGAAGAATTAAATTATTTTATGAGTGAATACTTTCTTCTATACTAAAGTAAAATTACACTGTGCTGTTTAATATAAGTTTTATTCGACAAATATTTTTTAACAACACAATTTTTGAGATCATTCACTTTTATTCTCCAATTGAAGATAGAAATTTATATTATCTATGAATAAGAAGCTATCCGAATGGAATGTTAAAGTACATTTTATGGTTATAATGTATTTTACATAAAGACGTTACTTATATTTATAGGCTAATAACTGACAGCAGTACAACTATTCATCTAAGTATAAATAACCAAGTTAAAATTGTACAAGCTAGTTACTATGAATATATTAAATTTTTTACTAGAAAGTTATTTAACCACCCTGCTATTTAAATTGATAAAGTTATTATGTATTCGACAATTTTGAAGTAAAAATTATTCAGTTATATAAAACCAATCAAAAGAGTGCACAACATTTGAGACTGTATTATGTGAAGTATTCATTTCGTATTATTTAAAGAAATTGCCTTAAATAGCGAAAATGATATTTTAACATAAACACAACTGCTTAAGATAACGTTAATAAGATTTAGCGTGAAGAGCTATTCCTAAAAAGTTATATATGACAAATTCCCAGGATTTTTAAACTTTGAAAGATGTTTTTTGACGTTAACATACAAAGCAAAGCTGTAGTTTTTATAGTTCTTAGGAAACAAGTTATTAAAGGTTCATTTTTCAGAATTATATGTACACCCTTAACGAAAGAACTTCTTATTATTTTCTCTTTAACAATTAAAATGAATATCATTATTAAAAAAATAAATAAATAATAAAAACTTGAATAAAAAGTTATAAAAGATAGTAAACATTTAGACTACAAAAGATATAGAAATTGAAAAGTTATTATTATTTTTTCTTTTAAATGTTATTACAAGAAAATATTTTCATAAATGTTAGTTCCTAAAAGAATTAATTTTTTACAACACCATTATATCATCCCTATAATTTTTACAGTATTGTAATACCAAAGATTTTATTGTGTATTTTCAAAATCAACATTCAAGTAATAGTGTTTTTTTTTTTGTCACAACCTAGTTATACATTTTCAGCACATAGATACTCAAGGAATTATGAATTATCATATGAATATTATTGCTTGGTCGTCACTATCAACTATATATTGACATTTGACTTTCTCTTTTAGGTGATATGTTGATGCTAGTCGATATTCAAGTTATATTATTAAAGAAATTCTGTGATTTTATCACACCGGGAGTCACCATATCTATTTTACACATACCTATTGTTTATAGCTTCTACTTCACGTGACGATGGCATAACTAGATAACATAATGTTTTCCGTGTGACCTGATTTTTCCATCGAGACCCTAACAGTAAAAAAAAAAAAAATGTAAGAACTTCATTTCGTTGAGATTAAATGTTTGATCAATATATGTCAGTCGGTAAATCTGTCATTTGGAAACTATTTTCAAGTAGATTTGAATTAACTATTTGAACATCTAAGTTTTAAAGATAGTTTTATCAAGATAATCTTTGTCTTTTCAGTTTCAACGCGACAAATATATACATATTGAAGTATGAAATCCAGTATCGGAATGAAATATATATAATTTAGAAAACGCCAAAAATTGAAAAATCCAGAATTAAAAAAAAAAAAATTTAACTTAGAAATGTTGACTAGTCCGGATTATTTCGTTCGCTACTGGACAACGAATAATATAACAATCAATTAACTAAATAAAATAAAAACGACAAAATGTAATAGTTACCATTAGTTATACTGATAATTTCTATATTTATGACATCTATTTAGTTTGTTACAGTGTGGGTCATAGAGGCGCCTTTGCACTTATAATGGTATCTATTTAAGAGTAACGCTGTTTTTATGAGCTTAAAGTTTACTGTCGATTATGATGTTTCAATGATCTATGTTACGACTACTGGAACTCGTAAAATCAACGTACTCGAAAGTCTTTATTATCGTCGACGCAACGCTCCTTGGAACACTAGATTGTTAAATGATTTCTTTTTTTAGAGATACTCATCTCATAATCCAAGTGGTTATGCACGTCCAATCTATACGCCGTTAGCGCACCAGTAACGCCCACCCAACACGTTGATATCACAATAATAATATTATCTTTTTCTTTAATAATGTCGGATTCCGTTGCTGATCAACAGGATTACCACCTCACCTTCGACACTCGTGTCTAATTAAACGTTAATAAATTACCCTTCCAACGTTTATCGCGCTCGATACTTGTGCTCTTTTTTTATCGCACACGGCTCACTAGTATATATTTACACATCCGACGGCACGGCATTAAATTACAGACTTGCACATGCCTGTGGTTTTTACCAAACAATATTTTAATAGCGTCAGATGTTCTCATCGTACACGTTTATTTGTCCATTTCGCTGCCAAGTGTCTGTGTATTCTCTCTCGATCGGTTTCACGGGCATCGGTCGCTAATTTTTATGAGTTGTAATTTCTC